TCAAGTCGTATACTACAAATCGCACGAGACAATCGTGCCGTGTAAATCAGCCTTAACCGCAACACCTATTAAAATTGATTTTACTTTTTAGATCCACAGCAAACGCAAAAGTACGCCATGATGCTGCGCACGCGCAAAGGTGTCAAATACATTTTGAGAGCCGGTTCCGAGATGGATCAATTGGAATGGATTGAGAGTTTACAGAGCGTTTGCGATGAACCGAACAATGATTAAAGGCCGYGTCGCCTTAGATGAAGTACTTTCAAGTTTTCGTAGTCTGCGMACAGCCGAACCAAAAATGTTCTTTGGCTTCGCGCAGGCAACGTTTTCGCGTCTTCGTAGAAGAAACACCAAARAATATTGTCTTGCCCTTTGCGATGTAACATAAAACAGGTTTTGCAATTATTCTTAGCTACCATTGAAAAAGTGTAAGGACAACTTCTCCCATCATACTTTGCTACAGAAAATGGCCTCGCTGTACCATGGCTATTTAGTATTATAATTTTCAGTTATATATCGCGGCCCGTGAGAATAATATATATTACTTTTTTGTGTTTTCTTAGGTATGAAACTTTTTACTTTGTAGTCTCAAATTTTATGAATTCAAATTTTTATCCTAATCTACCCTTATTATATATGAGGCAGGCCCTCAGAGCAACACATTTGATTTGRTTTTTATCTTCATAAGCAGAAGTACATATGTACTTGTGTCATGTAAGCCAATAGTAATATCAACGATTTCTAAGAAATCATTTTCTAGGTATTTTCTTTTTCTAGGTAAGATGCTTAGGCAGGCTCACCTTAGCCGGAGAATATCTCACCTTCATGGGTCTCGATAATATAATTTTCATATTTAGGGGCAGCTACTTCAAAAAAATGTTGTCGGAGAGAATGACGAATAAATGATTGAAAAATATTATGGGAATTGACGATTCGAGGTAATCGACTTACCACGAAACTCAATAGAAAGACAAAAGTTGTATTTATTGTCAACCTAATAATGGAGTCGTGCTTGYTCTCGCGTAGTGCATCATGGTATTGATGAAGTTTGATTTCAAAGTCACGGTACCATCATTCGTCCGCTAGAAAGAAGACCATTCAAATGAAGACTCTAGTGGAAATATTTTTGGCCTCCATGTTAGTTTTTCTTCAGATGAGTGAATACAATAAAATTCACGTCGAACCCACTGTAACTTTCTGTCTTGCATTTATTCGCTCTCAGTTTTTTATTTCCGATAATTCAGTTGTAGATTTGTGGATTGGTATGATGCGGTAAAGCAAGGATATCACACGAACCGTAGTTTTCGCAAYTTCATATGACATATTCCGTGCTTTACGTAGCCGTCTGATCTCTTCTGACCCAATTCCAGGTTTTGTGGCTGTGACGTGTGTTACCCGTGCCGTTGCGTCGTTAAATTTTAAAAGAAAAGGCAAAAATACTATTAAATAATAAAAAAAAAATCTATAAAAGAAGAGAAAACCTCTGCATGGAACCAGAGTAAGGCACAGGGGGGGTAGGGGCAATCTCCTTTGTACTACTGGTAACCAAGCAGGGACGTGACTTGTTTTTTTTTTTTTTTTTTTTTTTCTCTATATATAATATACTGGAATCAAGGAAAAACGTTTTTTACGACATAATTTGCTTTTATTGATCGGAGAT